TCGTCACTGGACGCACAACATATTAAAGCGTCTTTGGTGTTTCCATGTTTTCTACAAAACAAAACCGGAAAAACCGGAAAGTCAGCACTTTTCTGAAGTGCTGATTCTGGACCAGTTTATGTCTTTGTTATTAAAATCTATTATGTTGATGATCCCCTGATCTTCCATATTTCATAGATGTGTTGCTGTTGGAGATAAAGCCTAATCGTGTCTAAATTGCTTTAAAGAAATAATATCTCCGGTGTAGGAAATTCCCAGCAGTGATATCATCTGAAGAGAAAATGTCAAAGATCAATAAGGATGAAATCTATCGGAGGTCTGAGATAATAAACAGTTAATTAGTGGTGCTGTCTAAAGCTTAAACCTAGGGTAGATTTGAACAAACCTGCAACCACCCAGAACACCCTAGCAACTGCCCAGAACACCCTAGTAACCACCTCTAGCAACTGCCCAGAACACCAAGGTAACCTCCTGGCAACCGTCCAAAACACTAGTAACATCCTAATGACCATCCAAAAACCTTAAAATACCTCCTAGCAACCACCCAGAACACCCTAGTAACCTCTTCTAGCAACTGCCCAGAACACGCTAGTAACCTCCTAGCAACTAGCCAAAACACACTTGTAACCTAAAACACACTAGTAACTTCCTAGCAAGTTTCCCAGAACACCCTAGTATTCTCCTAGCAACCGCTCAAAACACTAACAACTTCTTAGCAACTGCCCAAAAACACTAGTAACCTACTAGCAAGTAGCAACCACCTAGAACACACTAGTAACCCCCTCAAACCCTAGTAACTTCCTAGTAATCACTAAAAACACACTAGTAACCACCTAAAACCCTAGTAACTTCCTAGCAATCACTAAAAACACTAGTAATTTTCAAGCAACCGCCCAAACCACCAGTAGCTTGTTAGCAACCACCAAAACACACCAGTACCTCCCTAGCAACCGCCTAGAACACCCTAAACTCCTAGCAAATGCCCAAAACACTAGCAACTTCCTGACGACTGCCCAAAATCCCTTGTAGCAACCACCCAGAACACACTAGCAACTGCCTAGAACACCCTAGTAACCTCTTAGGAGCCAGTCAAAACACTAGTAACTTCCTAATGCCTAAAAACCTCCTAACAACCACCAAGAACACCATAGTAACATCATAGCAACTGCCTAGAACACACAGTAACCTCCTAGCAACCAGCCAAAACATCCTTGTAACCTCCTAGCAATTTCCCAAGAATACCCTATAGCAGGGATCCTCAAATCTGGCCCACGAGATCCACTTTCCTTCAGAGTTTAGCTCTAACCCTAATCAAACACACTTGAGCATGCTAATCAATGTCTTCAGGATCATTAGAAAATCACAGGTAGGTGAGTTTGATCAGGGTTGGAGCTAAACTCTGCAGCGCATTGGCCCTCCAGGGCAAGATTTGAGGAACCCTGACATATAGGATCCGCGAATGAAACTGTGACCTCAAACACCATTAACTTACAGGCACAATATGTAATTTTCGCCGCTAAAGGCTGCATATTCAAAATAAACAAAGGCGTAGTTTGATGACGCCGTGACTGAGTGTGGAATCATGGGAGTTGTCATCTTCATCCCTACAGCCGATGCAATCCGACGGGTCTCGGGCAGAAATCATGTTCATGGATGAGCTAATGATTTATTAACGTAGTAGAATGAAGCAGGGTGAGGCTGAAAGCCGTCGAAGCGAAACGAGGCCGCTGAACCAGCGCGACACACGGTTCGAAAGCAGCGGAGCTTT